AAAAAAAAAAAAAAAAAAAAAAAAAAAAAAAAAAAAAAAAAAAAAAAAAAAAAAAAACAGAATAAGCGGTCGGTGATTTTCCTACTTGGCTTCAAATCCGAGCAAAAGTTGCAACTCGCGCGAGCGAAAAAAGAAAAAAAATGAGAGCACACGCGCACATGTACGCACCGGCACGGACGATTGATTTACTGTAATAACACGCGAATCAGAGTATAGGCGCACCCGTAAATCAGGCTCAATTAGCGCGCTCTCGCCGAGCAGATAAGCCGTCCCGATTCTACTGTCTTGCTCAACCGCAAAGCTCCACGCGCGCGCGCCTATCGCATTGTATTTCGGTGTATATTGTTTGCCAAATGATTTGTCGAGCATCGCGTCACGGGACCTCACGACGACCGAGTGATTAACAGGAGGAGGAGAGGCTTGTAAAAGACTCGCGCTACCGGCACGGGATTAACTCGTTAAACGCAGTCGCGACGTTTTTGCGCGCATCGCGCTTATTATCTCTTCCCCCCTCGTCGCTCGTGTTTGTTCTTGTAAATCAGCGGCCGATAAGGTTTACCTACCTTTTTTTTTCCCCCGCGAGCGAAACTTTTCCGTGATCCCGCTGTCCTTCTTTTTTTTTTTTTCTTTGCGACTCGACGGATCCACGCGTTACAGGCACCTCGTTCTTCTCCTCCGAGATCGAAATTACACGCATAGATAAAAAGGCCGCGACTATTTCGTTGCGATCTAGTTTTGGCCCCCCCCCTCCCCAACCATTCGGATAAAAAGTAAATGCATAATTGGCTGTTTTTCCTTCCAGTCGACCCTGTCGTCGCTGTGCCGGGGCGGTAACGATCTTTCCGAGGAGACGCATCGTAACTTTGAGGTGTGGCTCCAGCAGCAGCACCTTGGCCTCGGGCTGAACCCCCTGCTACAGCCAAGCCCGAATCACCACCTGCACCACCGTGGCAGCCAGTCGCCCCAACCGTCGGAGGTCACCCCGGGCCCTGGAAGCGTCGTACCCCCGAGCCTCGGCCACCACCACCCCCACCATCCCCATCACCCCCATCATCATCAACAGCAGCAGCAGCAGCAGCAGCATCAACCGCAACAGTTGCAGCAGGTGAACACCGGGGTAGTGGCAGGTGGGGCGCACCAGCAGCATCCCGCTGGTCTGTTGGCGTTTTCTCACAAGTCGCGCATGCGCACCTCCTTCGATCCGGAGCTCGAGCTGCCGCGACTTCAACACTGGTTCGGCGAGAACCAGCACCCCACCCGCCAACAGATCCAGCACTACGTGGCCGAGTTGAACGCCCTCGAGTCCCGCCGCGACCGCAAGCCCCTACACGTGAACAACGTCGTCTACTGGTTCAAGAACGCGAGGGCTGCCCAGAAGAGGGCCGAGAACCGGGGGCTCAACGGCTACAGTCCGCCCGGCCTCAGCCCCAGGAACGCGAGCAACGTCAGTGAGGAGTGCACCGACGAGGAAGAGGATCCCAAACACCACGTGAGCCTTTTTTTCTCTTCAACCCTCCTTTGCTGTGTTGGAGATCTCTAATTGTCAATTCTACCTCTCCCCCCTCCCCCAATGGTATCGTCGCAAAGTCGGCGTCCCCGTCGCCTCTACCACCGGCCAGTCCATCCGAAGGTCCGTTGTCCTTGACGACGCGCCCGGAGGACCAGCAGCAGCAGCAGCAGCAGAGCCAAGTGCCCTCGTCGACGTCGTTGTCGGTGAAGCAGGAGGATATGTCGAGGGCCACGTCGTCGGGGTCCGAGGACGACGAGGCCAGTCCGACTGGGCCCATGCCGAGTTTCTCCCTCGTGCCCAGTCCGATGTTCAGCCACAGCGTCATGTACATGTCGCACTACCTGTCGCCCCGCGGACCAGCCGGCTGTCCCACCAGTCTACTCGACGAGAGGCGGAAGAGGAACCGGACCTTCATCGACCCCGTCACCGAGGTGCCGAGGCTCGAGTCGTGGTTCACCCACAACACCCACCCCAGTCACGCGGTGAGCTTTTTTTTTTTTTCTCCTTTTTTGCCACCTGCGCTCCCAATACTATATCGATGCTTGGTTGTTGTTGGTTCACAGCTTATTCTCAAGTACACGGAGGAGCTCAACCGGATGGCCTACCGGCAAAAGTTTCCTCGCCTCGAGCCCAAGAACGTGCAGTTTTGGTTCAAAAATCGCCGGGCCAAGTGCAAGCGCCTCAAAATGGCGCTATTCGACGGGGAACTGCCCAAGCCCCATCCTTACCACGCCGAATAGACGACACACACCCTCACACACACGATCGCACACTCTCGGGTCAATAAACGATTATACACGTAAATAAATAAATGAATAAATAGTTAGTCAAAGGGCTTGGAGCGGCGCAGCGTCCGATCGATTGGTCGTTGCGTTTTTTTTTGTTTTTTTTCTCTCGATCGATGGTCGGAGGGGCCGTCACATAGGAAGATGATGAATACTCAACTGCATACACACACACACACACACACACGCGCGCGCGCATGGACACGTACACTCAGTGGAACTCTGATCTGTTCCGGACCCTATTTCAGAACTATGGCGTGAAGTACTGTTCAATAATAGGGTCCGGGACAGAACAAAGTTCCACCGAGAACACACAATCCTCGTCGCTGTAATTACACGATTCGTTATGTACGAGTAAAATGTAATAATTGTCACAATATGAATGTAAATAACAATATACATATGCATATACACATAAATAATACGCCTAAATACATAAACATTATAATTATTATTATTATTATTATTATTATTATTATTGATATCATTAATTATATTATAAGCGATAATTATTAATTATTATAATGATGATGATCTCGAATAAAGTGTAAACCGTGCTTACTTCGTTCACTCGATTGTCTCTTTTTTTATTTCGCACAACCTCCATCTATACGATGTATCGCATGGCATATCCAACCGATCCCCCTATCGATACGCCCGTCATCCTCTCCAAAGCGGTAGAGTGTACGCTACAGCATCCCCATTCACGAGGAGCAGTCAAGTAGTTGGCGGCCACGGTGTACGGGAATCTCCTTGAAAAATAAGCCTCGCAATTCAGTGTGCTATATTGTGTATATTCGTAGCGCGCGCCGGAGATAACGTCAGCCCCCAGACAACGTATATATATATGTATACACACGCAATGTATACATATGCACACGCGCTACCGTACAGTTTAGAACACTAACGGCAATCTTGACTCGGGCAGATAAGACTAGACGTAGCCCCACACGCGCGTGTATACATAATATGGGCATCTGCGACGCAACAGACGAAGCTAGAAAATAGCTGTCAGCGTTTCAACCCTAACTCGACAACGGCCGATCTATTCTTGCACGCGCTGGCTATCAAAAGCCCGATGATTTGTGTATGGGCATATACAATCTGACATCTCCCTTTTCGCGAGTGTGTGTCACTAGAGCCGGAATTTCGTTTTATCAATATATACATACCATATTGTTTGGCGCGTCTTTTGTTTCAACGTGGCAACACGCGTAAACGAAGCGACAAATATTTCCCGGGTAAAAATAAAAACGAATGTTAATACAGCGGTTGACTGAGAAGAAGATTAGCGGGTAGGGGGATGATAGAGCGTACATAATAACGATCGCGTTCGAGATAAATAAAAACACGTACACATCGCTTTTACGTACCGGGAGGTTGTTTATATGTATGTGAGTACACGGGGATATGCGCAAGGGAGGGATTTCCAATTTGGTGCAAAGACGAAAAAGCGATGAGAGCAAGAAGAAGGGTAAGAGAGGACCATATACCGCTGTTGGGCTGGATTTAACGAGGATAGGCGGATTTGTCCAATTAAAACGTCTTACAAGGATCGGCAAAACATCCTGCCTTTCTCCGGCTCTCCGACTTTGCTCCAACTTTGCCTCGACTCCGAATACCGGCTCGGTCCCTCCTTATCCCTCCTCTCGGTGACTTCATACCTCGTGTACAAACAGACACACAATACACCTGCTTTGGGAGCTGATGCTTTTCACCCTCTCTGGTCCTCGTCATTGTTGTCGGTGGGGTAAGCGCCTATTCCCCGCGAAAGGATATGTATACACGATTTTGGCTCTCGACGCGCTGCTCCGAGAGGAGCACTTGAGCTACTAAAACTTGGTGGATGATGAAGTTGAATTTAAACAAAAATCACCTTAAACGATGGCTCATCCCTTCGAACGCTATTGCGACCGCCTCGAGGTTCCGGGACGCTGCTCTCGACGGATAAGAAAATTGCCGCGTGTCGGTGCCGAGTGACAGGAGCTCGCAAAAAACAGCCCGAGAGAGATTTTTTTATGCGAGAAAGGTAAGTAGAAAGAATCAAGGGGAAAAGCTCAAAAGTCAGCAAAGAGAACACCAGAGGGAGGGGGGGGATGATCCCTCTATCCGATCTTCATTTGTCAAACGACATCGGCTTAATTTAATCGGGCCGCGCAAACTCGCTCTACTCCCAAGGAGGAAGGGCGCGGAAGGAGCTGCGCAAGAAGTGCGGGGCCCTCTCCGGGATGAGCCGGTGATTTATGCTGAAAGAAACGCGTGGGTACGTGTATAAATATACTACGGGACGCGATGTCCTTGTATCGTTGCAACAGTTGGAAATGGAGCGAAGCTAAAACTCAACGTGACAAATAAGTATAAACCCGTGCTGGAACTTCCAACGGACTTTTTACCCCGTGGGTCTCTCGTATGGCAAAGCGCGTCAGTTTGAGCACAAAAGCCGTCGCGGACGAGTTTATCGTACGTTATACATTGTAGATTCAGCGACGAAAACTCGACTACTCTTGTGTGTGTGTATTGCGTCCAGCCGTGCCGAAGCGGAAGCCAAGAGATGAAATGGAGGAGGGACAGAGCGGGAGTCATTGTGCGGAGCTTCGGTATTCATGGAACGTTCTTATCTGTGCCTATCCGGAGACCTGTCAGCAAAGTTCCTGAATAACGGCCTCGACTCTGCCGTATAACGCTAGAATATTGTACCCACCTCCTCCCACCCACCCCCACCCCTTTCCTTATTACCACGTATCATTTTTGAAGAGAAAGAGGGAGAGATTCCTCCTTTTTCCCACGCATAATTTGAGGCAATTTACATGCCTTTCGGGGAAAAGAGATAAATCTCTCTTTCCCTGCTTTATCGCCGGCGTTTCGTCTTTGGGCGACAAAGTGCGCTTTCGTCGAACCGCGCGATAATAATGATTTGAATTGATTTTTAAATGAAAAAAGACTACCTATACATTTCATTGTACTTTGTTTTACATGAAAGAGTTGGTACTGCTCCCAATATCTTTGTATGGGACAACCGCTCATTCTCCGAGTATTCGCGCTTGAAAGCCAACCGCCGGATGTTTGCTCATCTCTGGTGACCTTTCATTCCATGGATCCGTACACCCACGACGAGACTCGGCGTTTGATATCTACTTATGCGAGTTAAATGTATGCTCAAAGAGTGCCTCGGCAGACGAATCCTATGGAAGGCGTGTTTTATGCACCACCGGGAAAGCTGTAAATCATAAATCAACGATGGCCCGATTAATTTTTTCTCAACATATACAACTCAATTACGCGTCGGTGTCTTTTTTCCAAGTTGAGCCAGAATGACGACAGGTACATATATAACTTTGCGCTGGCGAATATTACACGGGCATCCGGTATAAAAGAAACAGAGCCGAGAATTTCCCGTCGGCGCTTCTTAAGTGACTCCCACCCGAAGCCGAGTAAATGTACTTTTTAGAGCTCAACCGCGATGTATATACATACAGAGCAACAGAGTAGGCAAGGATAAGGAGGGTGGGGCGGGGGTGGTAGCGTGTCTCCCAAAGAATCACAAAGCGCCGCTGAGTAGAGGAGAGTTCGAGGGCCTCGCAAATTAGCAGTGGGATTGGCCGCGTAATCGGCGCCGGGACGCCGAGAAAGAAAGTATAAGCTGGCCAAAGAGCGGCTGCAGTAGGGCGGGAGGGGGCTACGGGGGCAAGGAAAGATAAAGCAGTACGGCGGAGGGGAGGGAGGAAGATCTGGTGGTAAGAAGATAGCTACGGTGGAGAAAAATAAAAAAATCTTTGTCGGGGACTCTACTTTTTCATTGGATCCACCAGTAGGTTGGTAAATTTTGCCGAAACAACAAATTTGGGATCAACGAGATTGTGGGCAACTCCTGGGCACGGACGCCTCACTCCTTGTTCTTCCCTAATCCCACTCTCCGAACTATGAAAGCCCGTCACGCTCTGTCCAAGCGGCATATCAGCTCCACCGTCGTGGAAACGAGGGGAGCAACAGCGTCTCCTTCTCCCCCTCTTTTTTTTTATGGGAGGGTGCCACCGGCGCGATTGAAAGTAATGAGACATAGCGACGGATTTTCCGCAAAGTCGCTCCTCATCCGCGCTCTCGGGAGATCCGGTTCTATACGTACCCCATTTAGGATTTTCTCCCCCACTCGTGCCGAACTTGTTTTCGTTGCACCCATTTTCCTTCTTTTTCCTCTCCTTCATTGTACTGTTCAAAAACTCCGTGGGCGGAAACTCATCGTCTAAATGAACCGTCCCGTCTGACCAAACTCGATTTTTTCTACTTGCCTTTGCACTTTGCCAATAAGACACGAAATAATAGGCACGTGCACGAGCCTCGAGCGGCCATTAGGGCAGCATAATCCACTCGTAATGACGGATCTGTGGGAGGAAAAGCCAAACGAAAAGGAGCACGTATACATATAATCCAGCGCGTAAATCACGGGACGATTAAACGGTCAAGCGCCGCACGCGCGCGCACTTCTGAACTTCTGACGCGCGAGATTTCGCGAAAAAGTCCGTAATGTAATAGCCCAGAGGAGATCGCCTTAATTGATCTACAGCCGAATATTAGAGGGGGGGAGGGGAGCTCTTACGCGCGGCCGGTCACTTTCGAGGTAAGATGTATCGCCCGAGTGGCCCGTGGTAAGCGCTCTCGTGCGGCCACTTGTTCTCCTTTGCTCGTACCTTGCGCCCAAGAGCTGGAAAAAAGACGACGGGGCCAAAGGGAGGGAGGACCGTAAATAAAAGAAATCCTTGTAATGTCTTTCGCCGAGTGGAAGCTCGAGGTATCATCTCCCCCTCTCTCGCGTCTCTTCTATACTACGTGTAACTGTAAGGTACACTCGCGCGTGTATACATAGGTATGTATATATATGTGCCCGTAGAAACTCGCATTATAGTCTTCCCGACGTAGTTAATTCCTTAACCCTTGTATAGACTCGTTGGAAATTTAGGGAGCCTTCACCCCACGCCGCCGTGCACCCTTTTCTTTTTCCCCCTCGCTCTCTTTCTTACTTCGACGAGTCCACCCTTCATATTTTTCGGAGAAAAATACTTTTGGACGAAATTCCACTTGATCCCTCTTTGCTCGTACACTCAACGGTATCCAACTTTGGTGTGCCCTTGGTTCACTGTGGAGCGTTAAAGTTTTTCCCTGTTCGATTGATACATCGTTTTTTATCTGAAAGTGCCGTGGATGCACCCAAGAAATCAAGGGACGGAGATGCCTCACTCTGGCCCGGTTGAGCTTCGTAAGCGACAACGTCTTAGCACTTACGACGTAGGCAAGTTCTTGCGGTGGGGCATGCACGAGCAGGTGCTCGCGGGATCCCGGGAGCATCTTAGATGGGCCCCGAGCGACAACGACGACCGAGCGATACATAATTTATGTGGCCTGGGAGCTTAGTCGACCCAAGATT